GAATGGAACTGAATTGAAAACCCAGACACAAAGCCACACATATATGGACAACTAAGCTATGACAAATGAGTAAAGAATATGCCCTGCAACAAGGACAGTCTCTTCAATAAATGGTGCTGGAAAAATTGGACCACAACATGCAAAAGAATGAAACTAGACAACTACCTCACACCATACACAAAGATCAACTCAAAATGGATTAAAGACCTGAATGTAATACCTGAAAATGTAAAATATATAGGAAAAAAACCAGACAAAACACTTCATGACATACATCTAAGAAATATCTTTAAAGACTCATCCCCCAAAGCAAAATAAATGAAGGAAAAGATAAACAGCTGGGTCTACATCAAACTAAAAAACTTCTGTGTAGCAAAAGAGACAATAACTAAAAGGAAGAGACACCCTACAGATTGGGAGAAAATGTTTACATTTCACACAACTCATAAGGGGATGATATCAAAGATCTACGGAGAGCTTACAAAACTCAATAAAAACAAAATGAAGAATCCAGTCAAAAAATGTGCAGAAGACTGTTGGTGGGAGTGCAAACTGATCCAACCACTATGGAGAGCTGTGTGGAGATTTCTGGACCTACTAAACATAGAGTTCCATATGATCCAGCAATTCCACTCCTAGGTATTTACCCAAAGGACAGAGAAACATCAATTCCAAAGAACACCTGCACCCCTATGTTTATAGCAGCTCTATTTACAATAGCTAATCTTTGGAAACAGCCCAAATGCCCAAAAATAGATGACTGGATCAAGAAGATGTGGTACATATATACCATGGAATATTACTCAGCATTCAAAAAAGATAAACACATGCAATTTGCAGCAACATGGATGGCACTGGAAGGGATCATGCTCAGCGAAATAAGCCAGAAAGAAAAATAAAAATACCGGATGGTCTCACTCATAGCAGGAATCTAGAGAACTTAAATAAGGGACCAGGAAAATGAATAACTATAAGAAAGTGAAAATCAAAATCAACAAAAAACTATGAACCAGAGACACTTTTTAGGGGGTGGGGGGCGGGAGGGGAGGGATTGGGGTCAGAATGGGGGGGTTTCAAATGTATGGGGAATATAAAAATAAAATTTATTACTTAAAAAAAATGTGCAGAAGAGCTAAAATATCACCTCTCCAAAGAGGAACTGTAGATGGCCAACAGGCATGTGAAAAAATGCTCAACATCCCTTATAATCAGGGAAATGCAAATCAAAACCACAATGAGATATCACCTCATACTTGTAAGATTGCACACTTAAAAAAAACTAACAACAAATGCTGGTGAGGGTATGGAGAAAAAGGAACCCTTTTATATTGTTGGTGGGAATGCAAACTGGTCCAGCTACTATGGAAAGCTGAGTGGAGAACTCTGAAATTACTAAAAATAGATCTACCATATGACTCAGCAATTCCACTCCTGGGAATCTACCCAAAGACACAAAACCATTAATTCAAATGGAAACCTGTACACCTATATTCATTGCAGCAGTATTTATAATAGCTAAAATATGGAAACAACATAAATACCCCAAAACAGAAGGATCTCTCTCCAACTGCTATGAGAACAGACACTAAGAAGGAAAGATTTCAAAGAGAGAGACCAGTTAGAAGATTACATTATCTGAGCAAGATATGTTGGTAGTTTAGATCAGGATAGTAATTGTGGGAGTAGTGAAAAATAGTCATATTGTGGATATATCGAAAGATAGACCCAAAGTTCATTCATGGATTAGATGTGGAGTGTAAGAGAAAGAGGGGAGTTAAATATGGCTTTATAATTTTTAGGCAAACAACTATTTCCTGAGATAAGACTGACCAGGAGGTCCCAAGGGAGGTTTGGGAGGTTGAGGAGATACCAGAAACTCAATTTTATATCTACTAAGTTTTAAGTATCTCTTGGAGATATTAAATAAGCAATTATATATATATATATATAAATCTGGGTTCAGGGGCAGGTCCACAGAGGAGATACATATATGAGAGTCATCTATGTATAAATGAAATAAGTCAAAAAATGGAAGACAAATATCAGGTGGTTTCATGACTCTGTGGACTACAAATAACAAAAGGTAAAATATACACAGGTAAAATACAGTAGGAATAAATCTTGAATTCAGTAACAGATTGTAGTGGTTACCAGATGTAACAGGAAGAGGAGATGGAGGAGGAAAACAATGGAATATGGGCATGGGTGGTTTGGTGGAGGGTAAGTGAAATGTGTGTACACCTGGAAAAGCAAAAATATAACCTCCCAAATGAAAATAAAAATTCCAAAAAAATTTTTAAAGATTGATTGATTGATTTATACAAGATCCGGGGTACAGACCAGAGGTGCAGAAGGGTGAGAGGATTCACCAGAGACAGAGCGGGGAACAGAACAGGCAGACTGACGAAATACACTGCTGAGGGGAGCAGCGGGCGAGACAGGAGAGGTCTGCTTGCCAAGTGGGTTGCTTGAGGCTGGTGGGGATCGAACTGGCACTGCAGAGGCTGCAGACAGTTTCACAGTGCTGCACTTAACTGCCTGCGCCACCAGCCACCAGGGAGGCCCTAAATTTTTTTTTAAATGGTATTTAAAGTTATGGGTCTAGAAGACCTTACCGAGAGAGTAACTATAAAAGAACAGAGGAAGCGAGGGGAAAGGAAATATCAAGAACACAGCCTCAGAGTTTTCCAAAGACTTAAAGTTTAGGAAGAGAAGGAACTCACAAAAGAAACAGAAAACATGGCCAGTGAGGACCATTTATTCAAATCCTCCCTACCTTTCGGGCCCAGTACCCAGGCCGCCTTCTCCAGAACGCTTTCCTAAAGACTTGGGAAAAAGTACTCTCTTCTTTGAACTGCTTTACATTTTATTACCTTCCTTATTGAGGAAAATGGGGGGTAAACAAGTCTGAGTTAGTATACCATTAGTCACTGAACTCTCTGAGGCCTCATTCCTAGTCAGGCCCAGATGGCTTTGCAGCAACTTATATCCCACTTTCACCATTTTTATCACCTGTACCATCCACCACAAAATTTACATAATATATTTTCTTTAAACAGATTTTTTTTTAAGTTTACCTAAGTTAAGTCGTAACAAAGCAACAATATTTGTGAACCCCTGAGAGTTCACTCTATTAGTTATGTATTTATCTGTTACAGTAAATACATGATAATGAAAATACAAATGTTCAATTGTGTCCCACCAAAAATTATTTTATGTGCTGAAATGTGGAATTCATTCAACATTTTGGGAAACAAAGTTCTAACACTCGGGCCGCCAAATGCCAACTATGTGGTCTCTCTCTTCCCAACTAACAAATAGAGATAATGATAAATACTTCACCTGGTTCTAGTCCCCTCTCCACTCCTCTCTTCTCTTGTTCCTGCTCTCACTCTGATCTTAGAGTACTCTTTTGCTCTTTCTCTCTTCTCATGCCCATCTTCCTCCTCCATCTTCTAAGTATGTCTCTGTCTATATCTTTTCACCTTTCTCTGTCTCTGTCTGCCCTTCCTTCTCTGCTCCATCAGGACCATCAACAATAACATCTACTGTGGTACATATACACAATGGAATATTACTCAGCAATCCAAAAAGATAAACACATGCAGTTTGCAGCAACATGGATGGAGCTAGAAGGGATCATGCTCAGAGAAATAAGTCAAAAAGAAAAAGAAAAATACTGGATGGTCTTACTCATAGCAGGAATTTAGAAAACCTAAATAAGGGACCAGGAAAAAGACTAATTAATACAAAGTAAAAATCAAAATTAACAAGCAACTATAAACCAGAGACACACTACCAGGGAGAGGGAGGGAGGAGAGGAAGGACTAGGGTCAAAATAAGGGGGGGTGCAATTGTATGGGGAATATAACCAAAATGAAAATGCATACATTGTGCAAAAATGAAAAATAATGTAAGAATTATATAAAATAAAATATTAAAAAAAAAGTTAAACATAGAGTTACCAATTGACCTAGAAGTTCTACTCCCAGTTATATACTCAAGAGAAATGAACATGTGTTCATGAAAGAGTTGCAAATTTATTGCAATTTTACTCACAGTAGTTAAAAACTGGAAAATCATTGAAAAGAAAATGGACAAACAGGGCATTGTAAAAGAAAAAAACAAATAACATCTACATTGCAAAGGTCTAACGGAAGCACCAGTCAGAGAAAGTCTAGGTGGGTATGTTTTCCCATTAGGGAAAGACAACTGGTCACAGAGGCATCACATAAGGCTTTGTTCAGTCTGACACAATACTAGTTTTTCTCAGATATGCAATCAGGGGCTAAGATATCTCTTTTTGGGTCTCAGTCTCTACCTGTGTAAAGTGGGAACAATGATTTCTACTTCATAAGATTACATTTAGCTGATATGAGTTAATGAATATCAAAACCCGCAAGACAGTAGATATTCAATAAATAGGAGTTTATTTCCCCATTTCCACTTTTCTCCTGCCAGCAGATGTCACTTATTTAAGAATTGGAACTTTGCAGAAAGGTTATATTCAAATGGGATTTTTCCTAACTTGAGTTCCATTATGCTGGCAGAAATGTTATGTCTTCCTTCAATGTTTCCTCCGAGTTTCCAAAAGAGTTTCATCAAGCATGGGAACTTTGGGCTTGTCTACTACATACTGATGAATTAATGCCACATAAATAAGTTTAGTCAAAGCATGAGGAAGGGGTGAATTATGTATAAATTAATAATAACTAAAACAAATCATTAACCCCTTATTGTTCTTTATATATTTAGATTTTCACCTACAGAATTTCTTTATGGGTAAGGTCTGTGATATAATTTCTCAGGCAGAATATTTTGGTGGGTGAATGAGGGCGAGAGACAGATTGATGAGTGGATGAGTGAATGACTAACTATGGGAAGGGACTTAGCTGACCTCGAAGTATGGGTTGGTCTGCTAGGTCCAGAATGTGAGTGAACACAACTAGCTCATCTAACAGCTACTTTACCCTTCATGAGACCCCACTGTCCTCCCTTTGATGCTCAAGGACCAGGAATCAGAGAAGTCCCACATCTCTACCAGCCTAGAAGCAGACACAGAGGTGACATTTTCACTGTCCTGTGAGGAACTGCTCTCATGACACCAGGGGCAGTAGCAGCTGGTGGTGAGCCTTTGGCCAGGCCAATTGGTGACAAGACTGAGTATAGAGGTCACAGTATCAGAAAAGACAAGCATTTGTTATATTCACATACCATCTCTAAGGACAAACCACCGGGGCACAAACATCCACACTTGTGTGTGGGCAGCACTACTATACAACCATCAGACTGGCCTTCCTTGAACGGGAACCTGCCCCTTTTACCTGGGATTGCCCCCTCGTATCATTTCTGCCCGGTGTTCACTGCCAAGATAACTCTCCACCTAAACTATGAGAAGAGGGAGAGTTTGGAATTGAAATATCTGTGTTACAAACTTGGTGTGATTTTGAAAGTTGTGTGAAACCAGCAAGTCACAAAACTTCCCATAGTACATGATTACCCTCATGAAAAAATAAATGTTGGGGAAGAGGTCATTGGGTGGGCTTCATTATTTATATATTAACAATGCTGAGGGTTGCAGAAGCCACATTGACCAAATCTTGCTTTCCCCTGGAATCACCACTGATAACGGAAGGGCATTGGGAACACAGTGGGAAGTACAGGCTGACCTTAAGGATACCATCTCAGAACCTATAGACCAGAGAGGTGTTGCTTCAGATTCATCTAGAGTTCTTGGAAGGCCATATGGCTATGTGAGAAGCACCGTTCGAGCTGTTAAAAATTAGATTCCCGGGCCCTATCCTTCTGGAATCTGGTTCAGTAAGTTGGGGAAGGACTCAAGAATCTGTTTCAATCAATTTGCTGGTGAACTTTATTTTGGAGGTCCTGCCTAATTTGATCTTGCTGCCCCAGACAGTGTGGTGCACATAGGGGAGACAGACAGACAGACACAGACCTGGACTCACATCCTAGTTTTGGCCTTCTCCTGCTTTGGGACACAGGTAAATCACTCAATTTCTCAGCTTAACTTTTCCCATCTGTACAATAGAGAAATGCCATCTACAGCCCAGAACCATTGTGAGAATGTAAGAACATTCCTCTCCGAAAATCACTGGTGTGGAAGAAGACTTGATAATTATAATATTTGATAATTATCATTAGCATCATAGAGCACTTACTAAGATCCAAGTATAGTTCTAAACAGTTTACATAATTTGGGTCTCATTTAATCCCCAACGAAATAGGAGCTCTTATCCTTTCTGTGCTACAGATGAGGAGACTGAAGATTATAGAGCATGAATAACTTGTCCAGGGGCCAAGCAGCATCGGAGTGCTCAGAGGCTGAACTCTTAAGCCCTAAGTTATAAATGGCATCTCCCTTCCCTTTTCTCCTTAAAGGTTAAAACACAGTAGAGCCAATCCTGTGGGGATAAGAACAAAGACCTCTGAAAGGAAGGAAGCCAAGGCAATTTATTTAAGCGGTACCTGAGAGAGTAAGGAGGCTCAGTTTGCTCCGAAGCTTCCTGGCAGCAGTAGCAGGAAGTGAGGGGTAGAATACCCAAGATTTTATTTTCTGGGGGGAAAAAGAAGACACGTAGACATTCTAAATAGACATTTGTCTTGGACTGGAATTCCAGAGGAGTTCATCTTGTGAATAGCTCAGCAAATATCCAGGAGCAGAAGCTCATCTGTGATTTCATGATATGCTAAAAGGCTTATCCACACATGTGTTTCTGAGGATCAGAAGACAGCAGGAAAACACATGAAATTCCATCCCAGAAGAGTACTTTTAGGCTGCAATTTTGTACGGCAGCACGGGGCATAAGAGCAGACCTTGGCCTGTCTCTGTCTTTCTCCACAACACATACCATAGTTCCCTTGGGAGGAAACCTGAGCTTCTGTTCTAGCTGGGTCATGACACTCCTCCAGAGACGGCCCCAAGATATATGGCAAGTGATCCTGAGTGAGATTATGGATAAGGGTCAGACTGTCAGAGCATGGGAACTGATGGGAGAGCTGGGTCTGTCAGCTCTCTGCTAGAAGAGGCAGAGCAGGAGGAACTGGTTGGAGGGTTTAGAGAGGAGTGCGGCATTTGGGCAGATAAGGTTTGCAGTAGGTGGCATAGAGGGGTTACTTCTCATCTTCCCCATATATTGCTCCTTTTTATATCCCTTTGCCTTCTTTCTGCCTGGTGAGTCCTCTATGCCACTTACCCACTTTCTCAATCCATACAGGTGAGGCAGATATATATCCCCATCCACTCAGATGGAGAAGGGAGGGACCTGTGTACAAATCACCTTCTATCTAACACTGAAAGACCAGTTTGCCTTCTCCAGCTCAGGCATCATGGCTAACTTCATGTTCCAGTATGATGCAGTCATGGAGGGCATCATTGGAGATGTGCAGGTGAGGGGACAGGGGGATTGAAACAAGCATGGACTCGAGTCAGACCAAGCTGGACAATAACCTGGCCTCCACGAGCTGCTCATTTGATTCTCTTTCAGAATCAGTAAGAACTAAAACACTGACAGGATGATGTGTAGTGAGATGTGACTTCACACCTTGGGGGGCATATGTGCTCCCCCAAAGGACTAGAGACCTGGACCTCTATAAATTGAATTAAGCTCAAAATTAATCCATTCCCAACCAAAAAAAAAAAATCACAGTCTGCTCTTAATGAGGCCTTTTGGAAAGTGAACCACCATTGGCTAATAATTGATCTCTCACACTGTGGGTTTTCACACTACCTGCAGCTCTGATACTCTCATATTTGCTTTTTTCTAAGTTAAAATATCTTTTTTGTCTCACTTGGGCCATCTACCTGAACAGGGACCCCCTTAAATTCTGAGTTCATACACTCATGATGAACTTGCAGAAATCCTACACTCTACCAGAAGTGTAGAGTACTGGTTCAAGAGCCTTGTTCGATAACAATGATGGCAGGGAAGTATGAGCTGGTAGATCCCACGCTGGGTTTTCTTTCATACCTTAGACATACACAAACCACCTCCAGATGCATCACACCACACCACACCACACCATACCACACCACACGTCTTTCTTTAAAAACACCTGAAATTGCCACTCACCTGGGAATGTCTTCTCCCTCCTTTCTCCCTTAAAGACCTTGAAAAAACAACATTCCATCATAACTCCATCCCCTCACAATTGCTCTCTCTGCTCTGGTTACACTTCTCCCCATGGACTTTTTATTCATTCACTCATATGTAGCCACATCTCCACCGAGCAGAGCTACTTTAGCTCACTTCCATTTTCACTGACTGGACACTCACAAATGAGTTGAACACAACCATTAATCTCCCTCAGGAATGTTCTAATCTGAAGGCACCATGTATAGAGAGCAACAACAGTCATAAATTGTTCAAAGTGCTGTATACAAATGTGTAATGGGAGATACCAGTGGAGAGGGCTTCAAGAAAGCTGTCCTAAAGGAGTTGACCATTAAATTGTGATGGGAAAAATGAATAGGCTGCACTTCCACCTGGACCAATAGGGTGGAAGGAAAGGCATGCAGAGAAAGGGAAAACAGCATGTGCAGAGACCCAGAGGTACAGCACAGCCTTTTGTGCAGGGGAAATAATAGCAATTCACCCTCTCAGAGTAGAAGCTTAAGGTACCACACCAGCAGGTGGCAGCAGGAGACAACTTGATGTTCTGTCATATGGGTGTGCTTATTGTGTTTTGCTGCTAGTTCATTCTTGACCTTTTCCACCATCACCTGGAGTAGAAGTAGATATAAAACACATGGAATTAAATAGCAAACAGTACGACTGATGCTCCCATCCACTATATGCCCTGACTCCTGCATGCCCCCACTCCAAGTATCCCTCAAATCACCTCTATTACTACTGGACTATGCACATTTTTTTTTTTTTTTGGTAACATTGGTTTGCAATACTGTTTATGATGTAAGGGAATATGTTCACACCGCCTCAGTTGTATGTTACCACACCACACCCACCACCAAGGCACCCACAGTCCTTTACCATAGACCATCAGGTCCCCTCATGCCTCACTTATTTTTGCCTGCCATGACCTGAAAAACATTGGAAAAAACTGCTTACAGTTAGGGGAGAAATTGGAGCCCAAAAAGAGATTGAATCAGATGGTCCATAGAGGTAGAGGAAAGAAGAAATAAGAGAAGTCCACTACTTCACAGTCCCATGGCAAATATTCTTGAAGAAAGCAGACGTGATATTAGATTGCGAAATATATCAGGAAAGTCCACTCCCATGAGAATCAAAATACATGCATTGAGATTGGAAACCAACTAGTCATTGTAGCCTTTAGTGAAAGAAGAGTCAGTATGTGCTGGAGGCTAGAGTTGATATGTGGTGTATAGAGGAGTGAAGTGAAGATGAGTAGATCATTTCATGTGCCAGGTTCATGACCAAGGGGAATTTCAGTGAAGAGAAAGTTGATTTGAATGTGGGTGAGATTGGGATCAATGGGAGTAATTCAGTGAGTGAAAAAGACACAACGTTTTTTTATATTGTAAAGAAGATCTGGCAAGGTGTGTGAGATGGCTTGGAGAGACAGAAATGACTGGTGGAGGAAAGCCAGAGGCTGGGAGTGAAAGAGATCCAAGGCAGGAATATTTTGTCATAAATATCAGAAGAGATGCATTAGTAGAGGAATATGAACCCTGTGTCAGGGTGAGAGCATTCAAAGGACAAGGCCAGGTGCCTATAGTTTTCTTCATTAGGAGGAAGGGAAGACATTTGCAGAGTAGTGTGGCATGACAGAGAAGTGTGGTGTGCTGGGGAATTCACTCATGTGATGTGGCCACCCTCACCACGCTGATGGCAGCTGAGGGGAGTTTGAGAGGTTGATGACCTGTTATCTGGATCATACATCTGATTTACAGGATGTGAGGTGTGTCTGGGAGCAGGCTGGGTAGGCATGTGATTTTACCAGAAGTTCTCACCTATTCACGTAGGGGAGGAACTGCCTTTGGCTTGGGAATGTGCAGGCTGGGTGACTGCACATGCAAAGTGAACGGCTGCACATGCCAGGTGAACTGCTGCAAAGTGCCATGAGAGGGTGGAGACAAAGCCTGCACAGGCACTTGTAAATGAACTCAAGGTTGGAGTGAAGGGAAGGGCAAGATGTCCCATCTCCTCTTCCTCTTCCCCCGCCTCCAGTGAGGAGATAGAGTGGCCAGTCTTGTGATCAGAGTGCCTGAACAGCAGAGAGGAGAATAAGCTTGTGATCCCAGGGCAGAGCCTGCTTCAGGCTTCTGGGCAGCACAGACCCTCAGCAAGTCCAAACTTCCCTAGACTGAGCTGACACTGGTCCTGGGAGCCCTCCCAGATGCCCCCTCCCCTTCCCTCAGCTGTCCCAGCCCCAGGCTCTGCAGAGGGAGAGATGGGGTGGGGGAAGGGGGCCAGCAGCCAATCACATCCCTGATAGCTCAAGGCATCTGCACCTGGCTTAACCAATCCCCTCTGAACAAGCAGTCTCTGCTCCCTCCCCCTAGCCCTGCTCTGCCCAGCAACAAGAGAAAGTAGGATTAAGGAGAGGGAGGCGCTGCAAACTCTCAGCCCCTGGCAGCAATGGAGCTGGGCCCCAGACTCACTGTACGGAGGGAGGTTAAAACAATACTCAGAGTTCCTGGAGGCCAGGCAAAATGTCCCTAGGGGCCGCCAAGACTGTGCAAGCCCAGCTCTCACAGACAGGAATTCACATATTACAGAGATCCTGATCCTGGAACCTTGGGCCCGAAGACAGTCTCATTCACTCCTCAGCTCTGGGGCAGGTTCCGGGGCTGACAGTCTGAATAACAGAAGCACAGTTCTGTTGAAGATGGACATTGAACAAACAATCACACAAATGCCTGTTTAACCAGAAACAGTGATAAGGCCCTGGAAGGAAAAGAACAGGGTGTGCAGAAGAATAAGGGGGACCTGGTTAAGACTGGTTTGCACAGTTCTTGGTTTCACTTCTTTTGGTCCAGATTTACAACAGCCGTTTTATTCATCACTTTGCCCCCAGAGGCCTCCCACCTGTAGAGAAACGTGTGGTGTTCATTACTGACCCGAGTGGCTCCGAGTTTGGTACCAAGTTCAGTGAAGCAGGTAGCAAAGACCCTGAGGACCTCCTGTAATTAGAAGGCTCAGAAAGCAGAGAGTACTGGAGCTGTGGTTTCCTGGGACCAGTGACCATACTATCCTATCACCCTGGGATCTTGTAGGCCTGGGCCTACCTTACAAGAGCCATGTAGATCTGTAGCCACGGAGTCCTGGGAACATCGAAACAATAGACTGTGGGGCCTGGAACTACTGAGACCCTCCACTGCGAAAGTCCAGGTTTCTTAAAAGAGTCCAGAACCACAGAAGCTTCAACTACAATATTCTGGTCACATAAAACCTGAGCCAAGAAAAAAAATTAAGGCCTTAAGCATGTGAGACCATGAATCTTCCTGACCCCACAGATTTGCTACTGTTTTATTTCAAGGTCTGGAAAATACAGTGTACTGGCCGTGCAGTTCTTAGAAACCATAAAGTCCTGGGTCCACCCAGACAGAAATCTCGTAGTCCTTCTCCCAGAGCATCCTTGAGACAGAACACTGGCACTCTAGAACAAAGAGGCTTGGACTTTAGGTCTTGAATTTATGATGTTATGGAAGCCACATTTTGAACCATAGTACTTAGGGGCTCTAGAATATAAGGTTCAAATATGCTGGCATAGCCTTTGTACCTTTGAAACATTGAGCCACAGAGGTCTTGTGAGCTAGAGCTAACTGGCCTGTCTTTTACCACAATGTAATCAACCTGTGGGGAGGGTAATATTAAAAACCACCACGCTCTAGTCTCCTGTGCAGGGGAAGGGATATACCCATCTCCAACCCTTTCTAGCCCTCCTGCCCCATGTAAGGTGGGGGGAAAACTAAGAAGCACCCTATTCCAGGGGCATAGATGTGCTAAAACCTGAGACCTGCTCGTAGAGCTATTAAATGCTGACCCACACACACTTTACCACCACGTCAACTCAGTTCCTGTTTAACAGGAGGTTACAGCTGTTAAGAACTGCAAGCTTAGACTCTATTTAAGGTGGAATCTCTAGGAAAACCCAAGACAACAGAGGAACCAAAAACAAGAACCCTCGAAGAAGTTTTATCCTCTGATACTTACAATTAGAGCAACCAGCAAACACAGCTTAACTCTTAGCCAGAGAAATATAAAATCTCACACCAGAAGCCTATTTATCTCAGTTCTTTTTACCGGGCATTTGATGTTTGGCTTTCAATAAAAACATACAAGGGAATGCTTAAAGGGGAAAAAAAAAACACAGTCTTAAGGGACAAATCAAGCATGAAACTAAACTGATGTGGAATATTTTTTGGAATTATCAGTCTGGGGGGATGTGTTGGGGTGGCAGCAAAGGGTCGAGGCAGTTGCAATGGAGGATTACTGGGACTTTGGTGGTGGGTGTGTTGAAGTAGCATGCATTTGCAGAGGTGTAAACCTATACCCCTGAGACATATAGTGAGATGTAAATCTACATCACTTCAATAAATCCAACTTAACAAAAGTAAATAAATAAATGAAAATAGCAATGACTAATATAGGAAGGCTTCCAATGGAAAATGTGGACACCATTCAAGAATAAATGGGTAATGTTAGCAGAGATGTATATCCTGGGGAAATCAAAAGGAAATGCTAGAGATGAAGATACTCGAACAGAAGTGAGGAATGCATTTGCTGGGCCCATTAGGAGACTGAACATGGCCAAAGGAAGAATCATTGAGCTTGAAGATCTGTCAACAGAGACTTTCCAAACTGAAAAAGAAATAGAAAGGTAATGAAAAGCATCAACAGAACTGTAGGGCAGCTATAGAATGTGTGAAATGGAAATGCCACAAGGAGAAGAAAGAGAGAAATTAACAGAAGAAATATTTAAAGGACTAATGGATACAAATTTGCCAGAATAAATGACAGGTCCAGGAAGTTCAGCGAACCCTGAACAGGACAAACATCAGAAAACATTCAAATCAAAACAAAACAAAACAAAACAAAGCAAACAAAAACCCCAGATGGAGACATGTCCCATTAAAACTGCAGAAACTCAAAGAAAAAGAGAAAATCCTGTAAAAAGCCCATGGAAAAATAACACCTTGCTTATAGAGGATAAGAATTACATCAGGCTTCTCTTAAGAAATCATGCAAGTGTGGTGAAAGAAACATTTAAAGTATTGAAGGGAAATAAATAACACCCGTGTGGAATTCTGTGTACTGCAAAATTGTCCTTCCAATGTAAAAGAGAAATAAAGACCTTCACGGCCAAATCAAACAAACAAAAATTAGGGCATTGTCACCAATAAACTTGTCTTGCATAAAGCATTCACAGAAATTCTTCAGAAAGAAGAAAAATGTAATCCCTCAGATACATGGACCTTTGAAAAGAAAGGAAGCATGTTAGAGAAGTAATAAATGAAGATAAAACATTTTGTTTTGTAATTAGTTGATCTAATAGTTAACAGGTTGTTTGAAATAATAATAGCCATAGAATATTGAGCTACTGTGGCTTATTAATAAGTGGAATCAAGGACAGCAATGCTGTAAGGGGCAGGAGGTAGGAATTGGGAATACTCTGTTACTGGGTACTTTTAATGTGCATGAAGCTGAATGGTGTTATTCCAAAGTAGACTTTGATTAGTTCTAAAACCATATTGCAACTTTAGGACAACCAGTGCGAAATTTCTTTTTAACATGATGGATATACTAAGAGACAAGATAAAGTGGGGTCGTATAAAACATTCATTTGAAACCAGAGAAGGCAGACAAAGTACAGAGACAAAAATAAAAAGAGCAAGGGCTGCATTAGAAAAGAGTTTTTTATATGGCAAATGTGAATCAATACATCTTTGATATTTTTTATTAGGGAAAAATGCATTCATGCCCATATACATATGGGTGTGTGTGTGTGTGTGTATGTTATTTATATAAATGTAGGTATACATATACATATATATGTGGTATCATTTATAATATGCAAATATATAATACACAACCAATCTTTTTCTCCTAAAACTTGTGAAACGGAAGATTGAAATGGAGTTTGCTACGTCAAGGACCCTAAAATGGAGTCAGGAGTCCATTAAAAGAGGAATCGCTTTGTTTTAAAATTTTATTTCTTTATTGTATTCTTTTTATTGTGTTAACAATGGTTTACAACATGGCATATAATTTGGGGGTATAGGTTCACACTTCTTGAGATGTACATTACAACACCATGTCCACCACCAAAGCACTCATGATCTATCACTACAGCCCGTTGGGGACCCTCCCCACTCTGTTCTCCTCCACCCGAACTCCACATCTGATAGCTTCATTTCTAAAGTCGGATTTCTAGTGTGTGTTTTGGTTTAGTTTTCCTAATCCTGTTTTGAATCTCTGTATTCCACACATGAGTGAAATTGTGCAGTATTTATCTATCTACTTATGACTTATTTCACTTAGCATAAACACCCCTTCCCAGTTCCATCCATGTTATGGCAAATGACCAGATTACATCTTTTTTTAATAGCTCAGCTGTATTCTATTGTGTATGTATGTGCCACGTCTTCTTAATCTGTCATTGAGCACTTAGGTTGTTTCCATGCATGGCTATCGTAAATAGTGCTGCAATGGACACAGGAGTGCATATATCCCTTCGAATTGGTGTTCTGCATCTTTGGGTAGACACCTAGGAGTGAGATCGCTGTAAGTAGAGGTATGGCCCATAAGGTAGAACTATTTTTAAAAATTAGAAAATTCCATGCTCTTTTCCAGAGGGACTGGACTAATCTGATTTCCCACCAGCAGTGTACAAATGTCCCCTTTACTCCACACACTTGCCATAACTTGTTGTTTCTGGTCTTTTTGATATGGGAAAATCTCACAGGAGTGAGATGGCATCTCATCTTGGTTCTGATTTACATTTCCCTTATGATACCTAGTGATGGGAATTTTTTCACATGCCCGTTGGCTATCTGTATGTCTTTGGGAAGGCTCCATTTAGCTCTTCTGCCCATTTTAAAATTGATTTGGTTTCCTTATGTTGGGCTGTATGTTTCTTTGTAGATCTTGGATAATAGCCCCTTGATGGATGTGTGATGTGCAAATATTTTCTTTCACTGAGTAGGCTGTCCTTACATATTTATGACAGTTTCTTTCACTGTGCAGAAGCTTTTTAGTTTGGTGTAGCCCCATTTACTTTTGTTTCCCTAACCATTGGAGCAGCGCCCAATGGTGTCACTGAAGCTTGGACTGTTTTGTCTGTTTTCTTCTAAGTATCATTTGGTTTCGGGTATTATAATTTTGAGTGATTTTTTTTTTCCTTTGAACCTTCACATTTTTTTAAATTTCATTTTCTTCCTTTCCTTTCCTTGCTTTTTTTTTTTTTTGAAATTCGTCCTTTTTTAAAATTTTTTACATCATTTTTCATTTTTTGTACAAAACTTGATTTCTCCCCTCAGCTGTAATCCCCATAAATCTCCCCAAACCACCACAGTCCCTTGTGCTCTTCCCTCCCCTGTTTTCACCCTCTTGTTCCCCCTCCCCTGCCATATGTCTCAGAGCTATAATTTGCCTGCTAGTTTTGTCTCTTTTTCCCCCGCTGTCCCTTTGTTCAGTTTCCTTATATTCCCCCTATAAGTGAAACCATGCGATCTTTTTTCTTTTTCCTTCTGATTTACCTCACTGAGCATAATCCCTTCCAGCACCATCCATGTTGCTGCAAATGACATGGACTTATCTTTTTTGATCGCTGAGTAGTATTCCATTGTGTATATACACCACATCTTCTTGATCCAGTCATCGGTTTGGGGGCATTTAGGTTGTATCCATATCTTAGCTATTATAAATAGTGCAGCAGTGAACTGTCACCATAGTCCCTTTGTTACAGGGCAACCCTGATATGAAATGGGTTGCCTGACTGTGAGTCCTCACCCATGCGCTTAAAAGGGACTTATAATAAGACTCAATTGCAGACACACACAGAAAGGTTAATAAAGGGTTTATTTACAAAAGAAGGGGAAATGAAGAAATGAGTAACTCAGGGAGAAAGAGAGGGAGATAAATTTGTGAATGC